CTCCAGAGTCTTATTTTACCAATGATCTCACAGGGTAAACAGGCCAGTGGCTAGCTGTGTACTACATGGAATAAACTGCAGAATCCAGTCCTTTCCTGAAGTTAGGTATCCTTATAACATACAGATATATTAATAACTTGATAGTCTTACCAAGGGGGCTCAGGGCTAGGAGTGGACTGGAAAACATATTGTTGAGAAGCTCCAAGAGTTTCAGCTGAACCGTTTCAGAACTGTGCTGTGGCAGGCGTAGCACAGGAGCCTTGTTTCGTTATTATAAGCAGTGGCATTTGCTGCATGAGCAGAGTGATCTGCTCCTCTAAGGCTGTAACTGGTGCGTTTCACAGCTCAGGTATAACCAATTCCATAGCTGAGCCTCAATTTCCAATGTGTGTGCCCTGGCGAAAGGCTAATGCCATACCACCTTAATAGGCATCACAGAAATGGAAGGTAAGATTCCTGTTGAGTCTCCCTAGATTTTCATTCTTTGTTTAGGGTGTAATTCTTTAACTGTACACAGGTAGCTCAAAAGCAAAAATTAGACGTTTTATATTCAAATTTATTTTTCACTGCTTCATCTGTGCAGCTCTGTACTTGGTCTTGTTATAAACACTGGTTTTAGTGTGGATGTGCTGGGGAGGCTCAGATGTCCCGCTGTGGCTTCAGAGGGGCTCTACAGTGGTTACAATTGGTGTAGAAGCAGGCAGGGGTTTCATATTCCAGGAAAATTTAGGAATTAACATGACTTTAATTATGGTGAGAAGTTGTCAAACTTTCAGGCACACTCCTCCTGTAAATCCAAGTCACCAGATAAGTGCCTGTAAATGTTCTCGGCGGGCTATTTTTTTCAATAGATGTTCTACGTGATTCAGAAAAAAACCCCAACTCATTTTATGATTTAATGGATCTTTTCCTGGGCATACCACTTTTGTCTCTGTCCTACTCATACTAGGGCTAATAACTGAGCTATATTTAGAGGAACTGCATGTCAAGACTCTTTGTTTCCTCCTTTCTATGTAAAATCTCAAAGGGTCACATAGCTGCAACTGACTCTGGGTCAGCTGTTATTTAAAATAAGGGTGCAAATCTGTTCACTGCATTTATCCTAGTCATTTTCTTGCTTTTACTTCCATTTTATGGAGAAGGGAGAGTGCATAAAAAGTTTTCCCTCTAAAAATGGGCATTGAAGTGGGAATTCCTTTTTAAGGAGTTTTGACACCTGAAGTTAGTCAGATCCACTAAGAATTTTGATGAAACGTCTTTCACTGTTTTCATTAGTTCCGGAGAACAATCCATTTTTGAAACTGAGATATTACTCCAGTTCACATCTGTGTTGCGAACACCTCACTGAAACACCTTCTGCAAACGTCTGAAAACAACGTTTTGCTGCAGTATTTTTGCTGCAAAATACTCTCCAAATTTGTTTTTGAGGCTCTTACTCCCATTGCCCAGCTCATAGCTGTATTTTTGGAGAAAGTTATAGATTTTATGAAGGGGGCAAAATATTCCCATTTTTATGAAGAATATGATTAAAAATACCAGTTTGCACTAAAAAATTAGGTTTTACTTCACTGAAACAATTTTTTTTCTTCAGAAAGTTCTATTTTTTTTAAACACGGGGGAAGTTTGAGTGAAAATGTTGGGTGGGTTGGTTTTTTTTTTTGGTTTTTTTTTTACAATTTGAAAATGTCATTAAAAAAAATTAGCTGGAATATTTGAGAGTGCACAGCTGCCTTGTATTCGGTGCTATTTCAGTCTAACCTGTGGAGCTGTTCAGCTTTTAATGAAGTCCTCCTGCATTCAAGTATCTGGAAGAGATTTTTCTCCTCTCGCTGAATACCAGTTGTATGTTTTATGTCCTTACAGACACCAGCATGTATTTGTCGGCAGCGCACTAACCTTGTAATTGCCTGTGCTTGCTCCACTGCACAGTTGAGGTATTTTGTTTAAAACGCTGGAGATGCCGAAGGTGTTTGGCTGGGCTAGGGGGCGGCGGGAGTCGGTCAGCTTGTGGCTGAGCTGCCTCTTGAGGAAGCCGGGAACATCTCCGAGTGCCTCCCCGCCTTCGTTTCGCCCTCTTTATCTGGAGTTACAGGTTTGGCAGAGCCTATTAGGTCGGTTTCCCCAGTTTGTCGTGCCGGGACGCCGTTGGCGGGGAGCCCGTTAGCAAGTGGATGGAAGCCACAAGCGTGCCACCAGGACCCCGGGGAAGGGACGCGCATCTGGCGACGTGGGTGAGACCCGCCTGCCACCGGGGTCGGCACCAGAGAGTTACGCGGGAAACGGACGGGCGCTGGCAGGGCGGCGGTGGGGCACAGGCCTCGTGTCCCCGGGCGCGCTGTGGCGTTGCGGTTGAGCCGCCGCCGGGGCAGTTCCCCC